TCATTCTGTTCCGTTATCTGAACAGAAATGAGCTTTTGCAACTGAAACTGTGAAGTCCACCAAGAAAAGATATAAACATACATGGCATTTTAAGCCATATTTTAACTAGACGCTCCAGGAAAGAGGAGCTAGTTTTAAACAAGCTGGCATTCTTTTGGTTCTTTGTGGCCTAAAAGAGAAGCTTTTCCATGATTATCTATTGACATCGTCACGAGATAGGTCAAGTTTAGTGGGAGAGAGAAAGAAAGAGCTTTAAGGGAACCACTACCCTACACAAGGGTGGGGAGATACCCAATTTAATAGAGCCGCCGCCGCCTTCGGCTTCCTTTCTTCGGAGGGCCTCCTTCCCTTTGTCCACGTGTCTCCCGGGGATCAGGCCAGATGCGCGGGTGGCGAGCCCTTCGTCGCCCGGGCAGGCGGGCAAGGCAGGCAGGCAGGCATCCTCCCGTGGCTCCAGGGCCTGAGAGGACAAAGCCTTCCACTCTCTCGCGCAGCTGGGCCTTTTTTTTCCCCTCCCTCCCCTCGCGGACCAAAAATTAAAAAAAAAACCCAACAACCAGCCCAAACCCCACTCACACAAAAGGAGGAGGATCCATTTCGCCTCCTGTCAAGGAAGAGGATCTGCAAGGGAAGGGTTGCGATGTAAAAGCAGGCTCATTGGCCGAAAAGGAGGGTGAGGGAGGGAAGGCTGCCCTGGGAGGGGTGCCCTGCTTGGAGGTGTGGCACCAGTTGCCTGCTTAGTGGGCACCCCGGCTGAAGGAGGGCCTCTGCAGCCAAGCAGAGAAATAAGCTCGGAAGCCTTCTCTTCCTGCACCATCTTTTTTGCTGCCTTCTTCTCCAACCCCAGATCATCTTGAACGTGCCCCCCCCCCAAAAATCGTACTCCTTTTGTAAGCAGGAAGAAGTAGCCACGTGACCATGAATGGGAACCTGGCTCTGGGCTCAGTAATGCCGTCACTGGGTCCCTAAAGAGTTATGGACATGCTGAACTTTCAGGTTCTCCAGAGCATGGATGGCATAAAACAATAGTGGGGAAGGATGAAGGCCAAGCATCAGAGTGCTCATTCTTCTCAAAAGCAGACTCGACAGCCAAGATGGGGAGTCTTAATTTGATATAAAAGAATGACGTAGAGATGCCAGGTTACAGCTGTATGCTTGGTTTATATCTTATCCTTGCAAAAAGGCAAGGTCTCCCTGTGACTGTTCTGTGCAGGTGCATATAGTCATGCCCCCAAGCTTTTGTTCATCTACAGTCGAAAGGTAATTGCTGATATGTCATCTGCTGGGGACAATCTCCAAAGCAGCAGAAATGCGAGCTGCTGCTCTGTTCTTTCTGATGGCTCTATATAGCCTGACTCTGAAGAAATTCTCTACTTGGGATAGTAACCCAAAAATAGTTCTCCTGCACCTCTTTTAGCCTTTTGCCTCTGTACACATACAACGGTGTTTATGCTTATAGCCTCAAGTCTTTTTTTCCCTCCCAAACCCTGTGCAGTTCCTTGCAGCCTCTTTAGGTTTTGTGTAGAGGCTAAGAGTTTTTCTGAGTACACAGCCACCTCAAGATGTTGTGTCTAATTGGTTCATCATCCTAATAATTCGTGTGTTTCAGATGCTCCGTATAGGCCAAAATCCTGTTGCCTAGCATAGCATGTCACAATTAGAGTAGGCCTATTTGAATCAATGGAACTTGCACATGAATTGATTCACCAAATCCCCATTGATTAATGGGCCTACTGTAGTGCCTTTTGCTATGCTAAGCAACAGAATTTTGGCCACTATATTTGCTAGCTAAAATCCTGTTGGGGAAAACCATGTGCACAAGAGCAGTTATATAGTAGTTTCCTCCTTCCTCACTTGCTAGTCTTGCACCTGTTTACCTGAACCAAAGAAACAGATGAGCATAGCATCTCATTGGCTCACTTGAGCAGTTGCCTACTTACACAGTGCAGATGTAACTGGATTCTGGCCACTGGTTTAATCAAGCTTACAGTTGGTAGTAACATGGCCATACAATATCAAAGGGTGATGAAGCAGAGAATATTAACTTACCTGAGGCTGTCCAATGAATCTGTGATTGAATATGGAGCAATATCTTGTATAATGTTGCCTTGTATGCAGAAGGGATTCCTGAGAATGCGAAGGTGCATTTTCAGTGGTGCTGTTCAGATGTCTTTGGCAGTGTATTTATGATAATGTTTCTTTTGTCAAAAGTTAATGGAACAGGTGCTATCCTTTCTCCTCCAGAAGCTGAGCATGGCTATGCATCCATGTTACCCTACAACACCAAGGACAGAGAGGCCTTAAAACGAAGAAACAAATCCAAGAAGAACAGCAGTAGCAGCAGGTAATAACAACTTGATAGTTTTCCATATATTGACTTCCCTCTTTATGGTCAACCATGTAAAGTCCAGTCACTTCCAGTACAATTATAATAGTAGCCTGATGAGTACATTGGACACACACTAATCACAAGGGCATTAGTCTTAATTACAGGATTAGTTGATCTATAGATGATGCTGTAGTGCCAGAGTTCCTGTGCTCATCAGGTACATCTTGTGTAATAGTTTCACTTTTGTTTCTTGTAGGCATTTAAAGTGGCATAGCACAGCAATGCAGCTGAAATGTCTGAAAGATCTTTCTAAAATTACTTTGGTAAAATTCACCCAACCTATTTCCCCTTCCTGCTCATCTTTTGAGCAGGGTCTAAGCAGGTCCTTTAAATATGGACTTAATTCAAACTGTCTCAAAATATATTTATAGCGAAGGACATTTGACTCAACTTGGATACTGAAATGTATTTGATAAAAATATTGTGCAGTTATTGCACCACAATAGTTTAGTTTTCCAGAAGCCAGCTAAAAACTAATTTAAATGTGTCTTTTAAGGATGTTAGGTTTATAGTACTTGTATCTTATGAAGTCAAGGAAATTTGGGAGTATGTTAAAACTATAATCATAAATAGAATCAATTCAGCTGCAAACTCTGTGAACAAAGAGATTTAATTCATTATAAATATACTTAGGGTTTGTTTGCATAAATGCAAGGATTGTTTATTCATTCGCTTTCACTCTCCTTCATTCCCTTTATCTGGTGTGATTGCTCAAAGTCACTGCTTTATAGTTAGAAAAAATGTTCAACTTGGATACTTTATAAGACTTACTATTTTATATATATTCTGCTCTTCTGTACTAAGAATGGCTTATGATGTGTAAAACAACAGTAAATATATAAAGACATAAACAACTGGCACAGATAAAGTGTATCCAGTTGTTAAACTTGTTTGGCCAGAAACCCACTGGAATAAAAATGAATTGATTTAGTAATCTGAATTTTCTAGAAAAAAAAATTGGGCATCTTGCATGCACACCTGATATTGTATCCTGTGCGTCACACAAGCTTCATCTGTCGTGGCTGGTGGTTTGAGATTATGTGAGTTGTGCTGTAAGACAAGTGGAGTACATTGAGGTCTCAAGCCTTGTGCTGGATCCCTTCAGATCACTTCCTTTTTCACTGAAAAAGTAGCGTAATCTCTGATAGCTTAATCACTGTCTTGTTCATTCTTTTTCCTGGTCTTTGCATATCTTGCCACAAGCTACATCCATGCTACCTTTCTGTCATGAGAAAGTTAGGAATAAGGAAGTGCCCAGTAAAACCTTTGTCCTTATATCACCCTATGTTGTGCCAGTGGTTAGCATTCTTAAGATGAGGACATGATGTTCTGCATACAGGGAATGGTATGGAAACTGGAGGATGAAGTTTCATTGTTAAGGCCATCCCCTCCCTCATCCCCTGCTTCTCTTGTTGCTCTGTACTTTTATTTGAATCTTATTTGAGTTAATTTCTTTATGGAATTAGGTAATTCTACTTCTGTTTCTATGAAAGAAACTGTTTTGGAATAGAGCCATATGTAGAAGGAGAGGTTTGTCCCCCCCTCCCCCCCATAAGTTAATCACTTGGGTGTTTTATTAAAGGGAAGGGATACTACTGATTTTAGTTTCATGATACCATAGAGACAATAAACTCTCCTTACTAATCTAGTTTTTCGTCCAGCAAATCTTTGTCTGCCTAGTTTTAACAAGAGTCTGTGATGTTTATTTTTGGAGTGAGCATTAGGAATGTGCTGGCAGCAGGATGGACCTGATTTTAAAAATTGTTGTTGTTTTTTTTGACAATTTAAATTGTAATTGATTTTTTAAAAATTTAATTGTAATTTAAATCCATTTGGTTGTTTTTTTTTATCATTTATTTTTTATCTACCTTGGAGAGGGGATTTTTGTACCGGTTTTGTTTCTGGGTCTTTTGGGGGCTCTTTCAGTTTTAGATTCTTTCAAGTACAAGTCCTTTCTATAAACCATAAAATTTCAGAATATTTTGGGTTCTTTGTTTCAGTTTTACAGTTCTGCTTTCTGACACTAGAGCCAATTAAGACCTAAGAACTCTCAAAACTAGTTCAGAATCTCTCAGCAGGGACAAGGCAACAGACAGCCATCCGCTCTAAGAGTGAACAACAACAGTACAAGAGAAATGAAAGTTGAATGTCCACACATCTGAGCAGGCACTAATAGTATTTGAAATTTTACCCACCTAAAGCTTGGGGGATTGGAGAAAGAGGTCTCTGTAGCTTCAGTCCAGCATCAGGACCAGCAGATAAGCATTCCCAGGAACAATAAAAGAAGTGAGGAGAAATCCCTCAAAAAATCTATAAAATAAAAGGCAAAAACTGAAAAAGCAGGGGAGGCACAGTAATATAGCATCCTTAAGACATCTGTTTCATTCACACTTATTTGGATTCCCAGATCATTTGTATTTCAGAGTCTCCGTCATAAAGGAATGAAAAAAAATCCCTCTTTCTTGTTTTTGCTCTTCGAGTTAACCCAAACGTCTCCATCCCTAGTTACCATAGCCTTCTGCTCAGCTGCTAAGTTCAGTGGTGGCATAGCAAGAGAGACGCTAGCCTTCCACAGGCTGGTGTCTTCCAGATGTTTCAGACGACAGCTCACGTCATCTCCGCTGGCCACATTGGGCAAACGTGACATGCGGTTGAAAACCTCTAGAGGCCATCAGGTTGAAGAAGGCTGATAGTGGTTTGTCAAACTTTGGGTCTCTTATTTACCATGCTCTTCTGAGGCATAGGTAGCATGTCACGTAAATAATAATACAGAAGTGTGGTTGAGTTTTGTGCTTCACAGGAATAATGTTGCAGCCATCCTTATCTAAAGGCGCTGTAGAAGGAATCTTCAAAAGCATGTGTTATGTGGGGAGTGTGTCACCTGTTTGATCATAGGTTATTAGTTTGTGCAGGTTGTTTCTAGCATACTTTGACAGTCTGTCTTTACAGGTAAACCTCACAGAATCTGGTGTTTCATGTATTTAAAGGAATATAGTAATTTGTAGTGGCCATGAGTGCAAGTGGTTCACAGAAAAGTTATCAAAACTATTCACGAGCTTCAGAAACTTTAAGAAGAAGGTATAACACAACATGCCTTGAATTGCCAAATGTAAACATTTTTGAAAATGGCAAGGTTAAGAGTTAAGAGTGTGTTTTTCAGACTTAAAATTTATGGATCTCAACATTGCTTTGGAAAGTATTGGCTTGGTCTGTATTTTCTAAAATCAATCAGCTCAGAAAAATTGTAGATTTTTCTTGTTTTTCCCATAGGTATTTACTTAATAAGCAGTTGATCAGGATGATCCAGGAGATTATTTTGTCTTCCATTATGGCAGATTCTCTCTGAAAGGCAGTTGTGATTGCTATCAGGTCATAAGGCAGGTGTGGTGCCTGATTTAAAGCCTCACAGACCTGGATTTGTGTAGACTATTATTAACAGTGTATGATAGGCATAAAGATAATCAGGAGTTTCCTTGAAGTCTTTAAAGGTCATTTACTAGTTGAGCTGCATTTTGTAATATTTATGATCTCATGGTTCCAATTGAAAATGTTTAATGTCTTTTTCTGTTTTAAGGTCAACACATAATGAAATGGAAAAGAACAGGTGAGTCCTCAGAAATCTCTTTTAATTTTTAATTAATGTTACAAATAGCTACATTCTGTGCTTAAGTGTTACGGAGCACCTTCATATGTCAATTAAAACAGGGTTTTAGCTGAAGAGTCCAGTAAAGAAAAACTAGTTTTTCTGGGTGCTGCTTTATAGCCAAGTACAAATACTTCACACTAATGCAATACCTAATGCTTGCTCACTTGGGCCGTTATGTTTGTTGTGTGCACTAAATCACACTACTACGATTGGATTTCCATGAAGCAATTCACCTTGAAAGCTAGGCACAGTCTAAGAGGCCATGGGAAAATTCTTGTTCAGTCCTGACTGAAATGAGTATGATTCCAGCCAGATAGCCATCTGTCCTTGCACCCTTTCTTTGTGTGAAAGGGTGGAAGGATGGATGGCTATTTGAAATTATCCAAACGAGCCACAAGGTGGTTTGGATAATTTCAGTTATTCTTCTTACCTCAGAACCGAGCTTGGCTAGTCAAAGTCCTAAAAATTTCCCATCCCCTGGAAGAGAGAGAGGCTCCGGTCACACCAGTCACACTGAGGACAGTGTGGTGGCAGTTATGGTTGTAGTTGTGGTAGTGATGGTTGCACCATGCCTCCTTCCTTCCCCTTGGTCTTTGGGAGGAGGCCGTTGCTAAAGTGTTCTTTGCTTGTGGGCGCATTCCAGCCCCATCGCAACTGCAGCCTTTGCAGTAGCATTGCAGTAGTAATTGGGCTCTGCAATCTTTGCTTCCCCACTGGCAGGCCACTCTTCAAAATCTTTGCATCACAGGGTGTAGTTCTTGGCTTTCCTTTGGCCACTCCCGTTGTGTACAGTTCTCTGCCTCTTAGAGGAATGTGAGAAGTATTGGCTCATAACAGTCTTTCCACACCTCCAAAGTATAACATTAAAATCTCTCAATAGCTGAGTCCTGTCAGAGGAGGCCAGGCTAATGACATGAGGTCCATTCTCGTAAGATCCTGTTGAGTGCACCAAGTATTTTTCAGAAAGTGCCTGCAGTGCCGCTTATTGAGGCTTACATGGCATGCTGTTCCTTGGGATCAGGCTGTGGTGGATTTGAACTCTTTTTTGTGCTTCTGTTAAGGTTGCTTGAGGTTGGACAGGACCATTAGTTAATACATGTGTTTACGGGGGAATTGGCTCTTGGCATGACCTCTTCTAAGACTTTTTAATAAGCTTGTTAAACTTTTAGGAGCTGGTTGCATATGTCTTGTAGAAACCAGAGTGTAATTTGTGATTTGCAAGTGATTATGGGAGCAAAGTAGCAAAACCGAAATGGAATATGAAGCTAGCTGCTCAGAGTCATGAAGAAGAAAGCTAATAATGGTTAGTTATGATGATACCAGCTGGTAGTCACCATATACTGTCTCCAGTGCCAGAGACATTATGTGTCAATATCAGTTGCTGTAGGTTTTGTGTGGAAGATGCTTTTGCTGTCATGCATTGCTTGTGGTCTTCCTAGAGGCTACCGTTGGAACATAGGGCTAGACCACACAGGCGTTTGGGCAGGTCCAATATTATGGTTTTTATATTCTTATCAAAGAAGGAGCATCTTGTTCCCCATATCTTTATACGGATAAGCAAAGGGTTGGTGTCAGCTACAACATGTAAGAAGCATTTAATCCCATGCACTCAGGTTAGCGCTAGTTGATGAGCAAATTTTCATTGTGAGAACAATATTTTGTGATTGACATGTTGAGCGTTTTTATAATCACCAGTGTGAGCTAATGGTGAACTCAATTTCCAGCCCCTCCCCCTTTCAAAAAAGCACTTGTTTGTACTACTTCTGCCTTATTTTTTTCCCCAAAAACATTTGCCCTGACTGGTGAACTTAATTTTGCCTTGCAAAGTATAGAATATGTTTGCCCCAAAGCAAACTTGTAAAGCACTTAGTATGGAAATGTTACTCAGCTGTGATTAGTAAACTGCCTCCCCAAAGGTTTGCCGGGCAATTACAGTGAGTGAAAACAAGGAAATTCCACTGCTTTAGCCAGTAAATCTCATGATCTGATCAGATGGCTTCGGAACTGCAGTTCAGAGTGATGTGGGCAGGACTAAGGCATGATGGAGCACTCTTTTGTCCACTTGATTTCCATGTGAGAATTAAACTCATGCTTCGTTTTCTCTCATGGCATGAATGGGAATTGAAACTGCGAGCACTCTGTGTATTTGCAGCGGGTGGGCAGGTAGCAAGGTTGCATTCCTCTGCCTTCAGCACATGCAAAGTAAATAGTGCTCCCCTTGCTTCTGGAAGGAATCATTTCATCATCACACCCTGCTTACCTGTATGAGTTGCTCTGCTGACTTGCTGCCATTGGTCACTTGTTGAAAGAAACAGGCTGTGCCCTGTGGGATTAGTGCCGTGCAAACAGCATTAACATGGTGTCTGTGTTCATGCTGCCAGGACTTAGCAAGATGCCGCATAAGCTTGGCTCTGAGGTTTGGTGAAACGATTGTCAGATGACTCTAAAACGCAAGGGGGGGGGGGGGTTGAAAATGTGACCCAGAGTTCAAGGCAGTGGAAAACTGAGCTTATTCTCATAGATGGAATGGCTTATATCACTGTTTGTGTTTAAGTATCAATAATAGCTTAATCTGCACAAACCTATCCATCATTTGTTCTTTAATACCGAGCAATATCTTGTGCACTCTGTGCATATTCATTGAATTTGAGCCCCACAATCCTATGCCAGCTACAATCATTATCACCACTGCCTCAAATTAATGAGAGGAGGTGTCTTGGCCATCCACAGTATTAAAAATCCACATGCAGAATGTTCCCCCCCCTCCCCCCGTTCTGGTGTGTTTCCCCTCTGCCTTCAAATATAAGAAAACGGCATGCAAAACAGATGGCATGCAGATTCAGTCCTGTCCTGTTCCTGTGGAAGTCAGACACTAATCTCATTGTCTTTGCAATCAGGAGAAGGTAGACTGGGATCTCCCAGCAGATCTCTGAGTGATTTGAAATAGAGTTGTCGGAGGAGGCAGTCGTGTGCCGTGTAGGCCAATGAAGATTTGAAGAGTGTCATGGTTTATCGCTATGTCTGCAAGAAATGAGAATTTTAAATAGAGAAATAGAAGTACTTGCTTTAAAGATCATGGGTGGGAGGGGTGCATGCCCTTGTGCCCCTGGCCCAAGACAGACTGTCTTGCTGCTGACCGTTGAGGACCCATCTTGTGCTTTGGAGCCATCCTAGCTTCATAAGAAGGCAGTGCAGCATGGCCTGTTTGCACTGTTCCCAGACTGTGATCTTGCAACCTTAACGGATGTTCATTTTGATTATCAGACGTGCTCATCTGCGCCTATGCCTGGAGAAGCTGAAAGGGCTGGTGCCCCTTGGACCGGAATCCAGCAGGCATACTACACTGAGTTTACTAACAAAGGCTAAATTGCACATAAAGGTGAGCTGGTGATAATGATCTCTGGAAGTCTGTACTAAACACCCATTACTTGGAAATCAACATTCTAGATAATCTTCTTCAAACATGTAATAGGGTTTCCAGCCAAAGGTTTTTAGAGAATGTTGAAGATGTTTCTAGGAGGTCCTGTCTAGCTAGCGTCTTGCCTGTGTCACAATCACCAGAAGGACGAAATGTTGTCACAACATTTGAATTAACACATTGGGCATGTGAACGTCCCCTGGTGCGTGCTGCTTGACTCCTGCCACAACCTCCTGTGCAAGGGCGCAGCAGTCCATAAAGTGTAGGTCTTCTGTCTATGGATTGTTTCGTGTGATGGGTGAACCAGGAGCCTCTTCGTTATCTCTCTGCTGGCATACCACAGTGAAGAGGCAAGAACAAATTCCGGGTTTTCAAGAAAGAGCCAAGCCAGAGATCCTGGTTTCAGACCCCACACTACCACAGGTGGAAGGCCCACAAGTTGTTTAAGTACTTCCCACAGCTGCTCATGAACTCTGGCTGGCCTGTGAACTGGGCCAGTGAATTGCCGCATCAAAAGAATACACTTGGGGGCATTACTCCTGTTCAAGGTGAGCTGAGGGCCAGATAATACCTAACTATGGAAAAACAGCCTTGGGGAGGAAGGTTCTTGTTTTCAGAGATGATGTTCAGATTGTTTGGAAAATTAGCTCTCTTTCAAGTGCAGATAGTGACCAGGGGGAGAGATAAAACTGGTGTCCCCTGAATTTGTTCCTCATGAAGAGCTTGGCTAATGGCCTAATGTTGGCTCTTTCTTTCAACAGAAACTTGAAGACTATGACAGGAAAGCCGTACACCAAATAGATCAGTTGCAACGAGAGCAACGGCATCTGAAAAGGCAGCTAGAGAAACTGGGCATCGAGCGCATCCGCATGGACAGTATAGGGTCAACGGTTTCTTCCGAACGGTCAGATTCGGATAGAGGTAAGTAGAAGTGGGGGACGGGAGTTGGATCCCTGCCTTCACACCAAAACACAAACCGCTCTGTTTAGGGAAGAAATGTGAAGCAAATTACCCAAGCGACTTTGCATTTCTCTTGCAGAAGAAATCGATGTGGATGTGGAAAGCACAGACTATCTAACAGGAGACCTTGACTGGAGCAGCAGCAGCAGCCCAAGCGATTCGGATGAAAGGGGGAGCTTGCAGAGCGTCTGCAGCGATGAGGGCTATTCGAGTGCAGGCATCAAGAGAATAAAGCTGCAGAACAATCTGAAGGCCTGCCTCAGCCTCTAAGGAGCCAGGAGCTTCCCCGCCATCCATCGCTGTTTCCTTGTTGGATCTTACTAGGTAGTATGTTGGACCGTCCCACAATTCTTGCACGTGAACCTCTTTTCCACCAACATTACCAAAATCTGCTTTGCCTAAAGTCTCTAAACAGTGCATAGGGTTGTGGGTTACAAGCTACTCTCTGGAGCACACCTCTGATGGCATCCACTAGCTTCTCTTTTCCGTCTGTGAACTCATCTCTGTGAGACTGAACATTCCAACCAGATTTCTCAGCACCCAAGAATATTGTTGCAGTAGCAGTGAGACACACACGTTTGCCTGTGCTGCTCTTGCCTCATATTCTAGACGTACCTTTTCATCCAGGGGGGTGGAAGGGAGGGAGGGAAGGTTGTGACATAAATAGCCCGGCTAGCCACTGGTCCTCAAACGGGACCTGCAGAAGGATTGCTGCTCGTCATTCAGAGCCGACATTTGGCATAACAGACGTACCAGGTAAAGTAAGTTTCTTTTAGAGACTTCGCACAGTGGAACAGTCCAGCCACTGCCTGGGAGTTATTCTGAAGTCTCCCAAGTCATTGCAGTTGTAACATCACGTCTCAGAGGCACTCCTCATGCTGATAGCACTGACTCACAGCTCCCTGTGCGTTCTGAACACTGAGCCCATCCTTCTCAGTGGCCAGGGCTGAGTTGGAGGCAGGGGGCCATCAGACCAAAACTTAGCTAAGCAGAAATAGAGTAAGAATAGAATCATGCTGGAGGCTCTAAATTGGGGGGAGGGGGGGATAATTCACTCTTAGCTGATGGCCCCAGTAAAAACGCACTCACTCACACACCTCTTGATATCTTTCTGTCAGAAGACCAAATACTAATCCTGTGCAATCCTTAGAATGTCTGTACATTAACAGCTGCATTTCCTGTTTGTTCCTTGCAGCTTTTTTAGCTGCCAAGTCCTGCTTCTTGTCTCTGGGACAATTCTTTCTACCTCAGAGAGATGAACAAAGCTGATCTCAATCCCTTTAGCACAAAAACATGCCTCATTTGTATACTTGGTTCTAGTCCAATCTGTTTACTTAAAGATTCAGCAATAACTGAGTGACAGAGTTAGCTGTGCTAACTGCAAGTTAGTGATGGAGAAGACTGCATTAAAGTAATTCTGTGGTGCCGTCTTGGCATTCTAGTATTTCCTTGCCTATTTAAATTATTTGGCAGCCCTCTCAAAGTGGCTTCTTTGTGGATTTTGGGTTTTGGACGCTTAAAACTTGCATCTCCCCCCCCCCAACACACACATACATACCTTTCATTCTGACATTGATGTCCCACCCCAATAGCATTCTTCACTTTGGCTAAATTGAGCACACACACAGATGTATATAACATGTGGTCTATAAATAGTATTTATTCATTTTTATATAAATGTAATATTCTTGTTACTTTGTGCTTTTATAGATGTTTAGGAACTTTGTATGTCAAGGTGTACTAACCTAGCTTTCCTCAGTCCCCCTTTTTCTTTAAACGTTAATACTGTGCCCACTTGGCCAGTTCCCGAATGACTTTTTAAAGTTTTTTTCTCCTTTTGCAGCTTGCTGTCCTCCAGCACTTACAGGATATTTGAGAGCCAGTTAAGCAGCTTCATGTCACAAAAAGGGCTATGTAGCTTATTCAGCTTCAAAATGTAATTTTCACGCTTGCTTGCAGGGACCCTTTGCTGCCAAAATCCACTAGGTTCTTTGTAGTGGTCTCTGTGAATGCATACAAATGGGTTAATAAAAAACCCACTAGGATACTGTCCCAAGTTCCAAACAACATAAAGACGAAACTTGATTTCTTCAAAAAGTTTGTAGCTATTTCTGAATAAACTTTCATGATGGGAAGTGGAGCTAGTGGATTGCTAAAGAATCTCCAAAGCTATTACTTTTGAGTGTGCTGTCTTTTAAAATAATAATAATGACGATAATAATAACAGCTGGAATTTTCAGATATCCAGCAGAATTGCACTGAGCTCCTGTTTGTTGGAGGCCTTTCTTGCATTTATAAGCTGGCTTTAAGTCCAAGCAGAAAACCCTTCAGAGAGCTAGCTCCCAACCTATAAACTTTAAAGATGTTAAGTACTGCACTTTGAGGTCCTTTGTTCCAACATGTTTCTTGCCTGAGACCTTTGAGCTTCTATAGTTGTTAATGAGTTGCATAAAATTGTCTCAAATCCAACTCTCATGTTGACACCTTAATTTTAAAATAACTTCAGATTTGGGGGACATTTCCGTGGGGTAAATTTAAATTACAAATTTGTGTACTTTTCTTTAGAAGTAATAATTCTTAAGGATTCAATTTGATGTGTGTGTGTTTTTTTTAATTGTTGTGCCTTTTATGAGTTGATTCTAATTGGGCACAGTCCACTTTTGATTTCTCCTGGTCAGGGTCCCGCCTCTGTCCTTCCCCACCATTCCTAAAGGGTGTGAGTGTTGCAGACCCATCCAGAGCTGTGGGAACGGGCGTTCATTTGGGTGGACTTTTGGCAGGAGAAATTCCAGGTGGATTGCCCACATTCTCTTTTTTTACTAAAATACTGTGGGACTTTGCTTAATTGTCCCTATTGTGAACCAGTAACTGATCTTTGCACAGTCTGGATGTGGTCCTTTCAAAATTTGAATGGTATGGTACAGAAAACGTTGGACTTTGCAAACACTGCACTATTGTTAAAAAAACCTTAACCTTAAAAAGGATGTGTTGTATTTCAAAAGCATTTAGACAGGTAAATTGTTCTGTGGGCTCCAGGGACACTTTTCCACGTCATGGCTAGGACTAGCCTTGGCAGCTTCGAACACCTGTGGCCCTCTTTGCTCTTCACCCAGCCCATGCCGCTGGTAGCCCACTTCCAGGCTGGAGAAACAGCTCCTGTGAGTCGTACATTTGACTTCCTCTAATGTCTGAACTCCTGCCCACTGGGTTAGAGTGACTTGTGTGGTCTTGTACCGTATCTGGACGGGGAGCAGCGGTGTGGCGCATAAGCGCACCAGTCCCCCACCTAACTGTGTGAGCCGAAGTTTCATACACTGCCAGAGTGGCGTAGAGCAGCCGTGGAGGTAGCTGCCCCTGTGCCACGTGGGGAATGTGTAAAACTGGGCCACGGAAGTGTAACGTTCTGGTCCAGCCAGCCTTTCCCTAGAATTCACTGATCCACCAGCATTATTACTCAATAAGCTGCAGGAAATTAATTTTGTAGGTTGTTCAAGGGGAGCTGCGGTTGTTTCAGTGCCTGCATTTACAGCTGGAATTTGCGTGCCCGTTCACAAGGTCACACAAAATGCTGCTGTATATGGTGACTTCCTGTGCAAATAGTCAGTTTGGGGCATATTGGACTGGAAACGGAAATCCAAAGTTTGTGTGCTCTTACTGATCCGAAGGAAATTCGGTTGTCAGGGTGACAGGCTGGGGTGTCCTGAAAGTGTGGTCTCTACGTGACCTCCTTTTCTCCTGAGTGTTGAACACCCAGAACTTTTATGATGGGGTTTTGTTTTGGGATTTTGTTTCATTTTTAGTAAAGCAGAGCTTTCAAGGTGCTGATCCTGTGAACTTTTACCCAAGGTTGGTCCAGCTACCCATTTGTGATTCAAATACAGAGCACTTATTTGAGATGTCCAATGAGATGCCACAAACTTGCCCACCCTCTTGCACGGTTCTAGAGCCCTGGGCAGGAGCAGGCTGTGGACTGCCAGTGGCCCTTTTAGCACTTTGTTCTCAAAGTGGGGCATATCTCTCCGGCCCTGAAGCCCCCCCCCCGGGGGGGTCTGTTATTTGTTTTTGGTTCTTTCCTCTCTGGTCACTCTTTAAAACTCAGTCTCTACAGTAGAGCTTACAGACGCAGTCAGAAGGAGGAAGCCCAGTATTCTCTGGGAGGGATGAAGGAGGGGGAAGGGTTATTTTTTAAGTGCTCGCTGCCTAATTAGAATAAACTGAGGCCTCTGGTGTCCAGTCTAGCAATATATTGGGACTCAGAGTCCTTTTTGCCCCCTTTGTAACAGATTTCAGGTTTTGACACTTAACTGTATTTGGACGAATTCTGCTTTTTATATCTAGCTCTGTGCGCTTGCTCCCCTGGTGACCTGTATTGTGTTGCTTCTGCTCTTGCTGCATTCATCTGAAAGATTTATTTTTTTTTCTTTTCCTTTTTTTTCCCGGGAATGCAAGTGACTGTTTTCTGTTCCCTGTTGACTACCTGAAGCTTTCCAAACAGCTATGTGAATCAGCAGTGCTTTTGGTTTGGAAGAGAAAGACAACCCCAATGACTGAGCAAACAGAATTTCTTTCCCGTGTTCCAGTATCTTTGTACCAAGGTTACTTTAGCAAACTTGTTTGTTTTGAATATGTGGTCTGGTTGTAGAATACTTAAAAGATGGCTGAAATATGCTTGCTGAAACATAGCTGATCCTTCTAAAGTGCCCAAAGATTTGACCCATCTGAAAACGTTTGGCTTTCTTTTTGTGCTGTTCTTTTCGATTGGCCGAGGAACTTGCATTACATCGGTGCTCTTAACAGCACTTGCTGTTCTGAACTCTTGAGTTTAATTTTGGAGTCTTCCAAATAAAAATGCATCCTAAACAGGGGAGCAGCAGGCAGGGGGAAATAGGAATTCAGTTTCCAGATGTTCAGTTCCTAATGTAAATACCACATCATTATAAATCCTGTGTCAAGACCATATAATGGTGCTTTTTATTACAGTTAGCACATGCATTTTTAGAAACTACATGTTTTAGATGACCTTGCTGTGTATATGTATACTTCTGTATTGTTCAACTGTTAGAAAATAAATTATTTCATTATTAAAGAGTGCTCTAGCAGTGGCGTTATGTGGGAAAGGAAATTCTTACTCATTCACTGATGGAAATGATGCAACTTGCATTCAAGTAACGTTAGGACTAACTGAGTGCTTTGGGTTTAAGTGAGGATCTCACGGGAACCTGGTTTCCCACTTGAGCCGAGGCAGGCGGTGCCCACAAGCCATGCTTCAGAAGACTGCATTTCTAAGGTTGGGAAAATTCTGTCCCAAACTGGTGTCTTCAACCTGTATGCACACCGAGCACTATCGCATTTTGTAGTTTTCTGTTTTTTCCTAATTGTGGGCAGAGGCAATGAGGCCTCCTGTGCCTCAGAGTTCTGATCATTAGGAACCTTTCTCAGCCTAATGTCTGGCTTCTGAGACTTCAGAAGATGCCATGGCCACATATGGCCACAATGCCGTGCAGCTGAATTGTGCTTTCTCTCCTCCATTGCCACCCTCCATAGCCTTCTCAACAAAAGCTGAGATTCTTAGGATTCAGTGGGGAAGATCTTGTGGTAGTACAGGCAGCCCTGAGCGCAGGGGGCTGTTCCTTCCTATTCCAAAGCTTACTTTTTGTATCCAGATACCTCCGATTGTCCTGAGAGCTGCTGGCTTCCCAGGTCTCATCCCCAGATCATCAGCCGTGTCTTGCCATTATTTTCTTGATAGAAGGTAGCCTGCAGTGCCTGTATGAGTAGACACTCTGCTGTAATGCATGCCACAGGTAAGGGAAGGAAGCACAAAGCCCAGGAGGAGACCAGCATGCCTGAGGAGCAGTTTGAAGGGAAGCAGTTAGGAATTCAAAGGCTTCCTTCAAAGACTGGAGATCTTTCCCCAATGAAGTGAGCTTCAAAGAACACAAATCTGCGCCAAGTTAAAGGGGAGCATTTCAAACTGGTGAACTCAGATGTGATCTCATCATTGACGCTTCCATTGGTCTTCTCTAGCAATTGGAATTGAGAAGCATATACGGCCTCTGGTAAAGGAGGTGACACCTCGCCATCCTGACTTTGCAGTCATGGAAGGCCCTGGAGTCCTCACAAATTGATCTAATCTGCTCCCTGTGGTGTCCAGGCTGGCAAACATCACTTGGTTCTGTGGCACTAATGATGCTCATTTTCCCTTCTCTGNGGTGGGGTGCAGATCTGAAAAACCTGTGAAAGGGCTGTCTATTTCCCTGGCAGGTATAAACGTAATTCACTATTGATCACTAGAAAAATGCTTGAGATGCTTACAGAATAGGTAAAATTAGCATGGCCATAGTCCTGGTGTGGGGGGTTCTTTTCACTTACATTTTGGGTCAAATGAACATGCACAGTCACCGCTACAAGGCTCCCCTCTCTCAAGCCACTACCCTCAGCTGCTGCTCCAGGCTTCTCTCTCAGTTGACACGAGGAAGGCCGACACCCACAGAAAGTTGGTGAGCGTCCAAGAGAAGTCAGGAATTGGCACAAGGCTGGGAGGGAAA